AATTGCAAGTCAAAAATGTAATTCCAAAAGCTACTTGTACATCATTTTAAACACACACACACACACACACACACACACACAGCCTCGTTCTAAAAGAATTTGAATTTTTGGAAGTCACAGCCAAAACTAACTTAAGGCAGTCTACGTAATCTGCAGGGTTAGGCTACTACTGAAGCAAATGTCCAGGACTTTGCCCGTTACTTTTTTTAGATGCTTTTCTTTTCTTTCCTACTAATGAGAATACTCTTATTTTGCGGCACTTTATCAGAAGCTTCAGATAATTTTTGTTTCACCATGGAGGAAGACAATCATTGCTAACTACCCTCATCCTGAAAAGTTGTTTTTATATGGGTTCTGTGAGAGAGGAGAGTTAATTAGCTAATCAGGGAGACTGTCCAGGACAGTATTTAATTTAAAAGGCTGGAGGCTTTAGGTGCTCAATTAAGTAACTATCGGTCTCAGACTGGACTTTAATGGGCTCTTTTCTCTTTAACTCCAGCAATGGGGGAGAGATACCCCAGGTCAGGCTAATTAAAGCCAGGGGACTCTTTAATTGCGATGACAGAAGTGGTTTCAGTTTCCTCTCTTTGGGTCTTGGAGTCCAAAGAGGTTGTTAATATTTCAACATTTGGGCAACACAATCAATCACCAACACTGAGATGTTCCATATATGGATGAAAGGTTCTACATTTTGCAGCATTATGTAATGCCACCTTAAATTAATCCCAACTCTCTTCCTCATTCAAAACCTTTAGAAGCGGACAGAGGTGATGAGATGGGAACAAGAGGATGTGGGGTGGGGGGCTAGCTGAAAATTTCTTCAACTGGAACACTTTTAAAATAAACTACAGAAAAGTAAGGTGCAGTGTGGGGATTTTTACCATGCTGTGGAAACCAAACAGCTCTGCACCACAAAGAGTTTTGCATTGCCAGTCCCGCAGTTCAATTTTCCCCTTGCACCTGAAAGGGGTGGGGAGAGAAGAGAGAGGAGGAGGAGGGAGGGGGGGCGACATATCTGTACCCAGAAGCATCCAAACTTCCTAGCTGAAAGAAAAGCACATCCAAAGCTACTGATCCAGAAGCAATTGGTTTTCCATCAGATTTCCTATACCGGATCCAAATTCTGTGCCAGCTGTATCAGATGTAACAAAGGCTACGCAAAAAAATTATGCCTACAGCCAAGTCCATTTCAGCATAACTACAGCCCAAGCACCTTAAAAGCACCAGAAGCTATTGATACTTAAGGGGGAGGAAGGCGGCTGTGCAAGTGCTGCATTAGAGGGAGAGGGAGAGAGAAGGGGGGAAGAGAGAGGAAAAAATATCAGCCAAATTACGCTTGGTTAATTCAGAGTAACAGATCTGCCCCCAAGTGAATTGGAGGCCTTGAATTAATTCTGTTATGACAAATCAAGATAAACGTTCCCCCTAAATTGCATGCGATTTAATTAATTTTTGAGATCCTGGATTTTTTTCCCAAGCTAATAGTTCACATGCTCCTGTGCTGTCATTGTGCTTGAGTGGGCAGACTTCAAAGTGATATTAAATAACCAACTATTAGATTTACCTAGCACGTCCTATTGGAAAAATGCCATTTAATTACCTAGCCTGTTCAATTAAAGGGACAGCATTCCCTGAATATAGCAGCTTGCTGTTGATTACCAGAAAAATGAACTCGTTGCCTGGCTGCTCCCTCCCTTTCCTCCCCTCCTCAAATGGCTCATACTGTGGACAGACAGCCCACGTGAATGGCAATGAGCAGCAAGGAGAACAGAGAACATCTTTTGCCTGTTGGAATGGGAATCAGGTGCTTGCCGCCCGGCATGTCAAGCACAGTGCCACGAACACTTTTTTTTTGGGGGGGGTGACCATGCTCTCATTATCTAGGCAAGGCTATATGCTCCTCACCTGCCCCCCCAACCCAAAAATATATTTCCACTGCCACCTCAGTAGCAAACACCAGGTGGGATATAAGAGATTATAATCATATTAAATAGACATTTGTACAGAAAGAGTTCTCGAGCAGCACTAGCCCTTTAAGAAAAGCCTAGTTTGTTTCTCCCTCCCCACCACCTCTTTCAACCACCCCCCCAGCCTATTCTCTCTTGCTCTCTCCAAGGCCAATTTTGTTAATTAAATGTTTTGTTTGCGACACAGCTCTCATTCATTTTGGACACGTCATTCCAGGCAGATCTAAGCCAGGGACGAGATCTCATTAGATAAAACCTATCAGAACTAAGAGAAAATGGAGGAGACACTAATTAAAGCTCTTAATTGTGCAGATTCACTGCCACGCTGCTGCTTTATCTAGAATCTCATAGCTGGGAGGGCTGCCCATCACCCTTCTCCCTTCCAAATAAATTCTTCTTTTGCTTAGGGTACTATGGTTGTGAGTTAAGGGGTCAGAGAAGAGTCAATGTATTGCCATCCTTTTACTTAAATGAACACCCCACAGCCCTCTCCTGCCAATAAAATCTGTGGCAATCCTTAGATAAGGTAAGGCTGGTTTGGTAAAGCCACTACCCAGATTTAGTTGTAGAGGCCCATAGTGGTGGTTTAAAAAAAAAACAGTTGTCTTGTCCTATGAAGAGACTTCAATCAGTCAGTCCCTATCACCTCAGAGGCTGAATGATCAATTTGTCTCTAAGCTTTACGACAAACATCTCATTGAAAGTCCCATTAAGATCAACTTAATTTCTGCAAGTAGTCAAAAGAACAAAATCACGACTTATTTCTATATATTTTCCTACATGATTCTCAATAAAAACCACACACACTGAAGAGCACTTGTAAAATGGTAGCATCTTGTTTGTTAGTAGATTAGGACATGTAGCTACTTATGTCTGAGTCATCAGGGTCACAGATGAAAATGCTGGAACTTTATGTACTTGGGTCAGTAGACCTTTGTCCTATGGAACAAATAAGCTTCCAGAAGTGCACACTCAAGTATCCATATTTTATTGGACAAGCTATTCAGTTCTAGTGAAGAGTCAGACTGATGGAATAAATCAGTTCAAATTTACCATCTGATAAAGCACCCTATTTATAATAGCCTATATTAAAACTGTAATAAGTTTTGGCCACACAAAAACCTGAGGCAGAGATTCCAATAAGCTGGCCTGAACTTGCCTTAGGGGTACAGTAGACAACTTCTCTTTTTAATTAGTAGTGATCAGAAGAGGTTTGTTTGATGGTTTTAGTAGAGAGAGACGAAATCTGTACTGTTCATTGAATCTGAACAGTAGTGTCAATTTTTCCACTTCAAACAAACCTCTTTTTCTAACCGTTCTGCTCTATTTAATTAGAATTCTGTCTCGCTTATGCAGTTGCTTCGGACAGGGATCAAGAACGCATCGCTGTAAGCCTGCACACACTGATTTTCAAGCATTTACTTTAAAAATCCACACACTTAGCAAAATGAATGCTGCAATCCCTTAAAACCTTTCTATTGCCATTTTGTTTTCTGTATTCTATTTAGCTGATTGAAGGTGCTAGCATAAAGAAGAGCCATTATCAGAACAAGAAAGGGTCTCCTTATTGGTGTCACCGATTCAAAATGCTGTTGCCTCCAGAATCAGAACAAAGTAATATTTAGTATGCAACTTAGAGTTGTCACATAGTTAAATGTACAAATTCCAGAAGAAATCGGCTCAAAATATTTATAACTAAGTATTTGAAAATAGGCACAAAGAGATTATTTTAACCACTAAAGCTTGCTCACTCCTTCCAAGAACTGGGATACTTTTTCAAATCTATTCTAAGTATGAAAATCAAGACTATCTAGAAAAAAACTCCATATGCCTTTACCTCACATTCTTTATATGCCAAAGAAGGTGGGAGGGGGCTGTTTAATTACTGGTTGCTGAACTAGAACACCTCCTTAAAGCATTCATGTGCATCAGTCTATCAAGTCATTTACTCAAATTAAATGTGTAATCCTTCAAAATGCCTTCTTTCAAAATGAGTTTAAAGGAGCTTGAGTTCACCTGAAAAGATTGAATGGGCACCTGGACCTCTTAAATTCTTTCTATTAATTGCTCTAAAACTAGTGGGGGTGGGGAGAAGAAACAAACACATTTTTGTTATGCAAAGTGGAGGAGATGCAGAATACTGGATGCAATAAGAAATATTTTAAACATTGATCAAACCATGCACATGTTCACTTTTATACTGAAAGATATGCTCCACAGCAATAGGAAAGCATGTATTACCACTGTGTTGGGTGTGCAGAGTTTGGCACAGGAGACGGTCACAGTCCCTCCAACAATTAATCAACTCTTTCACAATGAATACAGAGAATGAGTCATTCCATTTTCATTTAAAGGTGCTTATGCAAATAATAATATAATAAATCAGATACTGAAAGGGTAGCTCTCTCACTGTTTTAGCCTCTTCCCACCACTGTTCTAGCAAACTCTATGCTTGCTCTCACCCCATTAGGTTCCAAACAAGCGTCCTTCTGCCCCACTACCATAGTAGCTTTGGGCAGATAACTGTTTTAAACCAGGACTTTTCTCTTAAAAGTTTAGGGTCACTTTAGGAGTTTTATTCTACCACACCTCTCCTTGAGCCATCTACCAAAGTTTTCTACTGTAATCCAGGAAAAGGATTGTTTCATTAAATCAGGCTTCTAGTTTTGAACTACCCCTTGCAACCAGAGGTATTTCTGGCCTGCAGTTCCTTCTGCTTCATAGGAAAAATATGGAGTCGTGTATTCAAGAAACCAGCAAACCAGCCTAACTTCCCCTGTGTCTCTCTCACCTGATGTAGTCGTTTCTGCACAGGATCATGCCGCTCTTAGTGTAGCAGGACGTACCAATTTCTCCCAGCTGGGCTTGGCAGCAGGAGCACTTCAGGCACCGGCTGTGCCAATAGCTATCCATGGCATAGAGCAAGAAGCGATCAGCAATCTTCCCCCCGCAGCCTGCACATCTTTTCCATGAGAGGGAGCCACTGGTGACCGGGGGAGGCTGCGAGCTGCTGCCTGGGTTCACCATGGTCTGGATAAGGGAATAAGAAATAAAGAAAAATGAGATGAAGGGGTTGATTCTCAGACTAAGAGCTCTTGCAACCTGCCCCTCCCAGCCCAAGAAAGATGGGGAATAGCAGCAACTTGTTTACTTTTCAGAGCCTTTGTTCTGGGTTAATTAGCTGCCTCCCCTTCCAAGTTGGCTGGTGGTGCTCAATGACAGTTTTAGCTTGCAATACTGCTGTCAAACTTAGAGTGACCCCCGCTTTGTTTGCTGCCAGGAAAGTACACACACCTGGAGTCTCACAGTCTACATGGCCCTCCCAGATATAAATTGCTGGGCCCCACAGTCCTAAAATGATAATGGCATAAAAAAACAGCCAGAGTGAGGCCACAATCCCTGACCACAACTCTTGGGGAGCGCAGCTGTAGCTCACCAGCTGCGAATGATTCTGGGGATTGTTTGGTTCTATTTTACAGGAGAGGCAAGTATAAGCTCCAGAGAAAACTGTGAGAAAGTTGTGAAACTAGTTTTTCAAGGTCTCCCTTTTCATGCTATTGTTATCTGCAAGGGCTCAGCCGGGATCGTCCCTATTTATTTATTTATTTATTTCTTCAAAAGATCAAATGAAAGTGGGGTCCTCCTCCCAAAGGACGCTTTACTGGATAATAATAGATCACTTAACTTTCAGAAGCCTGTTAACTTCCTATACAAACACATCTACTTTTGTCTCACTAATCTGCCCTTGATCAGCAATTTAAATGCTAAGCGCTTTGTTGCCCTTAAAAAAAAAAGTTTTGCGTAAAAGCAGAGAGGCAGAACAATCAAGCATGCCCCACTCAGGAAACAGCTAGCATGGCTGGCTGTAAAAGTGCTGCTTGGGGAGGGGTGGAGGTGGAAATAGACACACATGCAAACCCACAAGTGTGTTTCTCACTTTCTAATAAATGCTTTGTACAAGCAGGGCAACAGGGAGATTAATAATGGAACCAATTCATAAAGCTTACTCCAAACTGATTAATTTGCTCTGCCTCAAATCCAGTAGTCGAACAGGCTACTGTTCAGTCATTTGCACTATAAAAAGATCAAGTTATTTACTGCCAATTAAGCAGTGTGTTTTCCCTTTGTCCTTTGTAAGCTGTCCATGCTCAAGCTAAAGCATCTGGCTGTTTGCTAAGACATATACCTCTGAAGCGAAAGAGTGAAGAGGAGAGGGCAAACTTTTCCTGCCACTTAGTTGCCCAACTAAGTTACAACAGAAGCTTCAGGGTCCTTAAAATAGGCCACTTTAAAAAAAATTAAAAGGACCAAACAAAACAGGATTTCCTTCAAAATAACTCCTGATCATATGTTCAGTTGACCACACAATAAACCAGACTGCGAACTGCACCAATTAAGACTGTAACTAAAAACCCCGAGACTTGGGAAAGAGAACCACTCTAAAAGCCATTAGCATTGCATTTCTCTGAATGCATCATATACCTTTATGTAAATTGATTTCTGATGCATTTAACTCATGGAATGGCCTTTTGTTACCATTTCCAGCAATATGAATCTGCATTTCTTACTTCTGATTAAAAGCAAAAAGGATTCCTAAAGTATGTTAAACCTACTTCCCATCTTTCCAAGACCAAAAGCACCCCACACAAACCCCACTGCCTTGCTCCCACCCACCCTGTCTTTGTTGAAAGGTAAATATTATATATAAAAGGAAACGCTACACTGACAGAAGCATCCAGTAACCCCATTAAGCTAAAGCTCTTAAGGACAAGCAATACCTTAATGCTGATTAAATCTAAAAGAGATGAATCAAGAGGACTGACCAGAAAGTGACTCCCTTGATAACTAAGGACGGGCCCTCATCAAGTTTCATTTGGAGTTGGGGGGGTGGGGGCAGAGAAAGAGAAGGAAAGCTTTTAACTTAAATAGGCTTACTCTGGTAATTACACAGCCAAGCAATTTAGGTCCTGGAACAGAGGCAATGAAACAGAAAGGAGAGCTGGCAGCTAGAGGCAAAACACACACCCCCTCCCTCCTTTTAACAACGTCTCTGGTGATTTTAATGGAGACCAAGGGAGGGACAAGCGTAGAGCTTGCAATTTGTAGTACCCAAAAAAAAAATATGGATGCTTAATTCACGGCTTGGTTTTAATTAGGTTGATTCATCAGATTTCCCCTGAACAAAAAGGAGGAGAAAAGGAGAGGGGGGAGAGAGAGAAAGAGAAAGGAGAGTGAGAGAAGAGAGCAAATGCCTCACTTAAGATTATTCTTTCTCCCTTTCCTCCTCCTCCTCCAAACCTGCCACTGTTTCAAAATAAGTGGTTTTTTTTACTACAAAGAAAGTGGGCGACCGTTCCTCCCACCTCCTCCGCGACTCCCAGGCAGAACCGGGCGCGGGGGGGGGGGGGGTAGGAGAGAGAGAGAAGCGGCGCGGGGCAAAGCAGGCAGCCTTTTGTACCGCTACGCCGGGCTGCGGGCGGCCCCGCCGCCGCTTGGCTCCCGGGAGGTGCAGCCAGCTTTCTCTCCCCCCCCCCTCCAGGCGATGGCGGGGGTGGCCGTGTTTACTTCCCACTCCGGACCGCAACGAAGTGGAGAGGGAGGGGGTAGAGAGAGGAAAGGAGAAACAGCTACAATCATCCAAAAGAGGGGGGAAACCAACGCACCACCAAGCAGCGCTCTCTTTCTCCACTCCCGCGCCCACGATCTTACCTGTTTCCCCTCTATGGTGCAAGAGGCCGTGGACAACGTGGCTGTAGCTTCGGGAGAGCTCTCGCAGGGGGAGACCGGCGGGTTGGTGCTGGTGGGCTGGCCCGGCTCGATCCCGATTGACGGCGGACCAATTCGGAGCGCAAACCAGCGCGCTCGCCGGGCTACGCGGAGCAGCAACCCTCCGTCCGGGTCAGGGAACTGCAAGCAGCCCCGGGCTGGGAGGGAGGAGGAGGTGGTGGTGTTGGAAATGTCCGGGAAGCGTTTGCTCCAGCCCTCCTTTCCTTCCTTCCTTGCTGCTGCTGCTGCTTCTTCGTCCTACTCTCGCTGCTTCCCCTCGAGGGGAGATGCAGAGCTGGGTTGTTGCTGCTGCTGCAAAAGGCGAGCACGGGCGGCGGCGCCGACGCCGCTCTCGCTGCTGCTGCCGCCGCTGCTGCAATAGCTGGGTTAAGTTTTGGCAGATGTGGCCGCACTTCCGAGCTGGCTCGCGCTTCCCCCCCACCCCTTTCCCGCCGCCACCTCCCTGTCGCGGGGCTCGGGCGGCTTCCAAAGCCTCTCGCCGCCAACGGCCAGCGCAGGGGGAAAGTCCCGAGAGTGGGGCAGCGAAGGAGCCGGAGCGCGCGGCTGTTGCTGTTGAGACGACGGCGACGACTGAGGAGGCGGCGGCTTCTTCTGCTTCTTCTTCCTTCCTCCTCTCACGACCCTCCGCGGCTCCCCGGGCGGCGCTGCCTCGTCTCCGGACGCGCGCAAAGGAGGCCTCCGTCTCCCCGCTGGCGCCTTCCTCGCTGCCTCTCTCCGCCGCTCTTGCCCATGTGTTACTGACAGAGCAGAACCCCAACTACTCCGCGGCTCGGCCCCTCGCGTCACAGCCGCGCCGGCCAATCCGCTCGCGGCTTGTTGAGGCGGAATAATAAAACCTGCCAATCGCGAGCGGGAGGACAAAGGAACGGGGCTGGGGGGAGGGAGGAGGAGGGAACCGAGTCAGGTGGGGAGCCGAGCGGGGCGGCAGAAGCTCGAGCGAGCGAGGAGGGGGCAGGACGTCGTTGTCGTCGTCCGCTTCACTCAGCTCCTCGTCCGGCAGACCATCTCCTCCTTGGCCGCCGTGCTTACCAGTCCTTCCTGTCATTAAAGGCCCCAGTCCTTCTGCGCGCCCTTCTTCGGGACCAGAAGAAGCACTTATTAACACGCGCTTAAAACTCGAACGCAACACCCCCCCCCAAGCACAAACTATGCGTAGGGTCGCAGGCCGCGAGCTCCGAAACTTAAAATCACCTGAGGGAGCCGAGCCAGGAGGGTGGGGGGAAGACGTGATAGGATGAGGTTAGGTTGTGCTGTCGCCTCCTGCGCGCGCCTTTGGGAGCGGAGTCCGTTAAATTCCGTTGGGAGTTTAAACTTCTGGGCAGAACGCGCAGGGGCGTCAAGGCAACGGGGGGTGGCGAGAACAAAATTTTCTCCTTTTGTCGCCCAAAAGTAACAGGCGAAATCCCCTCGTGGAGGCTTCTCCTTTGCTGGGAACAACCCCCGACGAAACTTTGAAATATTAAGAGTGGCGATATGCTCACTTTTTATCAGGGCGCTCGCTTGTCAAGTGTCCACCACCTTCATGCAGAGTGTTGCTTTGCAGGTTTCAAAAAGCTCATTCATTTGCAAATACCCCCCACCCCACCCTGCGAGTAGATCATCTTTATTCTGGCAAATACAGAACATTTTGTGGTTTTATATTCTGATTTTGTTCCGTGGACCGCCCTGAGACCTCCGGGTATAGGGCGGTATATAAATTCAATCAGTCAGGATGGGGTGGTTGGTGGACGATATTCTTTAATAATTAAAAAAAAATCTGGTCCTGAAGTGACTTCCAAGCAATCCATTACAATCTGTTGCAGCCTAACAGGATGGCCCTAACTTGGCAGAGAGAGAAAAATACCTGAAATACAGAACAAAACCCTTATCAAAAAGATCCACAAATAATACTGTACTGAAAGCATTGAAAGTACTCAATTAATTGAGGTTCTGCATTCCTCACCCCCCAGCAGATGCCTGTCCCCAGCGAAAGCTTGCTGCTTTTAATGTCTTCTTTTGGGGGGCTGTGGTATATTTTTACCCATTATTTTTTTAAAAAAGCTCAAGAACTTTGGTGGGCGATCTTCAGAATAAAAGCTCTGTCTCCCCCTAACAAAAATCTCAGCTTTGTCCATGATACAGGATGTAGCTTTTTACATGGAAATACAGGACAATCCTGTATTATACAGGACAGGTGGCAACCCTGCCGTATTTACTCGGGTCTAATGAGCCATTGAATCTAATGTGCACTTCAATTTTCAGAACCTTGAAACCCAAAAAAGTATTTGCTGTGAAATGTAAATGTGACATCAAATCTAATGTGCACCTTAATTTTCTCGGCGTAATTTGGCCAGAAAAGGTGAGCATTAGATTCAAGTAAATACGGTGTTTGCATTTATTTGACCAGAGCTTCCCTGGAGCAGAGCAAACTGGTGAACCCCAGTCCAAATTCAGTGGGCTGCTCTATGCTGGCTCCTTTGGTCTGAATAGTTCAGCAACTGCTGCTCCCCTTCACTTACTGGAGATGTTACTGGGTCTAAACAAATGTGTGCTGTGCTGTGCTGTGCTGCACTGCACTAGATAGATGGGTAGCATTCAGTAAAACTGAGGACGACTATAATGCCTCCAAAGCATCACTTTTACCACCTTTTGCCCTGCTGGCCTTCCCCAATCTTTCCTCTTTGTGGCACCACATAGGAGGTTTCAAATGGAGGGGTTTGGAGCAGGGACGTTGGCTCAACAGGTTTTGCAAGTTGGACAGGACTGTGACTTTCCTCAGTGCTAAGCTCTAAGGCAGATCCAAAGAGGATTAGTGCCGATAGCCAACATTAAACGCCGCTGTAACTATTTTCCATAACTCCTTTTCCGATACTACTCCTTCCACCTTCCTGCTGAGTGCTGAAGCAGAGAACTTGACTCTGCAGTGGGAAGTTCAGTTTTGAAAAGGGCTTTTACTTTCCTTTAAGTCCTCTAGATGTTTACTTAGAAGTGAGTTTGAGGAGATTTGCTGCTCCCAAGCAAGTGGGCATCGGTTCACAGCCTTGGTATCTGTGCTTGTACGAGAGCTGTATAAACGAAACTCTTCTCTTGCCCTAGAAAAAAGAGAGAGGAAAAATAGACTCTCCTTTTCAGTGTCTCTTTTCCTGCATTTAGCTTGCAGGCAAGCCTCTCTCCTTTCATGTTTATCTTCCTAAACTGGACTGTAGTCATTCTGATAAAATTATAGTGCCACCTATGTATTCTTTACAGTGCCTGTGATAGCGTTGGTTTTAAACAGCTCTTAAAACAGATTTTATATACATTCTACTTTATGAGGGCCATATCAGCACCTCCTACAATTCTGAAAATCACAGCCAGTTTAGGGTTCTTCACATGTGCCTTTTTGTGAGACATGCTATGCTTCTCAGCATGGGCATGTAGAAAGCGCTACCTACCGAAGGGAAAATTGACTGTCTTAATTCTTGGGCAGAAACATTTCCTAGTCTTTCAGATAAACCTAGAAAAATGACTGCCCACATACTTCATGATAGCTATTTATCACATAAGAGAAACAACTTTTGAAATGCTTTCATGTCTGCTTACCTAGATGCAGTTCTTATCATAGGCAGTCAGGTAAATGGATATTTGCCAGTTTTCCTTGACTGAGAAGCCAAGAGCCTTGTGCATGCAAAGATTTAGCTCCATCACCAAACTACCAAACTTATATTAACTCTGAATGTCCATCTCTCTCCACCCCCGTTGTTGGAGTTTGGTTAATTTGTATTTAGAGCGGCTTCTCTAAGCCACTTTATTGATAATGAACAAGTATAACTCTTCCTGTTGAAGGAGAGAGTGAAGAGGGTACAGATCATCAAGGCAGCAATCCTCAAACCACTTACTCCAGGGCACACTGGCTGGGGTCAGTGGAATGGGACTCCTCCAAAGTGCAGCTGGAGGTATTAGCACTGATCATGTTGATATTGAAGGAATATAGGGTCAGGCCTCCTAGGCTGTTTTTTCTCTCAGAAATTTCAGAGAGCACTTTAGACTCAGCCCTATGCTCACACACTTAACACTTTGCCAGCTCTTCATGTGGTATACTACTTAGGACAAAATTTGATCCTTTGATTGGAAAAGTAAAAAAGAAAAAGTTAGCCGTGTCCCTCTCATCAAAGCAGTGGCCATTGATTCTTAAGTACTCCTTGTTGAAATCAATGGGGAGTTCAAGCTTAAAAATTAATGCTACTGTAACTCAGTGTTATTAATACCCCATAAAATTTTAAAAGAGGAATATGTTTTACGTCTGACTGGCAGTTAACAGCGCATTGTGCCATTTAAAAAGGCAATACCATCGTTCTTTAAAACAAACAACTGAGCCGACTTGAAGAGAGCGAGGACCCAGTTAAAGGAATTAAATATCCAGTTGCGTAAAATTCTAATAGAAAAATGAAATATTAATTCCATGCAAAGGACAGTTGTAGAAGCCCATACTTAACCAAAGCCAGAAGCAAACAGCCCCTGAAGAAGAAATATTGGTAAGGGGGATGTAGGTATATTCAGTGTGATGTTTCTATATCACAGGCAACAGGATCCTATAGCTAATGATCTGCTCAGAGTGACATATAATAAATGCAATAAAATGCATAAACCTGGGAGAGCAATTTGAGAAGTTTCTTAGACGGTTCAGCTCATAGCCTGTGGGCCAAATTACAGGGAATGGTGATAGATCATAGGGAGCTGCCTTAGAAAGAGTCAAACTATTGGTTCATCTAGATCAGTGTAGTCTACTCTGACTGGTAGCAGCTCTACAGGGTTTCAGACCTACTTGGAAATGCTGGGGACTGAAGCTGGGACTTTGTGAATGCAAGAGAGATGCCCAACCACTTAGCTACTATCCTTTCCAAAGGATCTTCCTATGCTTTAAATACTAATCTACCTCACCCGTGTGCAAAGCAGAGATGGAGGAGAAATTGAGGGCATAACATGAGGTGTTTAACCTGTCTCTCCTGCACACATACCCCATGCTTAGAGTTGCCAAATTTTTAATTGGTTCCTTGCCCCTTTAA